ATCTCAAATGCTCAGAAGAATAAGTTTGCAGTTTTCTTTTCTTGATCGGCTTTTTAATTTTTAATTATTTTTTAAATCATTATTTTTCAATTACAGTTGACATACATTATTATATTAGTTTCAGGTGTACACCCCAATAATTAGACATTATACAACTTACTAAGTGGTCATCCCGATAAACCTCATACCCATCTGACACTGTGCATAGTTATGAGAATATTCCCTATGCTGTTCTCCTTTACATCCCCATGACTATTCTGTAATAACCAATTTGTACTTCTTAATCCCTTCACCCTTTTCACCCATCACCTCAAGCCCCTCCCATCTGGCAACCATCAAAATATTCTCTGTATGAGTCTGTTTCTGTTCTGCTTGTTCATTTATTTTGTTTTCTTAGGTTCAATTGTTGATAGATGTGTACTTATTGCCATTTATTGTTCGTATTTTTAACCTTTTTTCTTCTCCAAGAAGACCCTTTAACATTTCATGTAATACTGGTCTGACGGTGATGAACTCCTTTAGCTTTTCCTTGTCTGGGAAGCTCTTTATTTGTCCTTTGATTCTAAATAATAGCTTTGCTGAACAGAGTAATCTTGGTTGTAGGTCCTCGCTTTTCATCACTTTGCATATGTCTTGCCAACGCCTTCTAGCCTGCAAAGTTTCTGTTCAGAAATCAGCTGACGGTCTTATGGGAGCCCCTTGTAGGTAACTAATTGCTTCTCTTGCTGCTTTTAAGATTTTCTCTGTCTTTAACCTTTTGAATTTTAATTGTGATGTGTCTTGTGTGGGCCTCTTTGGGGACTCTGTGCTTCCTGGACTTGTAAGTCTATTTCCTTCACCAAAACTTAGGGAAGTTTTCTGACTTATTTTTTCAAACAGGTTTTCAATTTCTTGTTCTCTCTTCTCTTTCCAGCACCCACATGATAAAAATGTTGGCGTGCTTGAAGTTGTCCCAGAGGCTCCTTACACTATCTTCATTAATGTATGTCAACTGTAATTTTTTTTTCTTTTTGCTGTTCTGATTGTGTGTTTTTTGCTTTGTTATGTTCCAAATTGCTGATTTGATTCTTGGCTTCACCTACTCTACTGTTGATTCCCTGTAAATTATCCTTCATTTCAGTTAGTGTATTCTTCATTTCTGATTGGTCTTTTTTTATGCTGTTGAGGTTCTCACTAAATTCAGTGAGCATTCTTATAACCAGTGTTTTGAACTCTGCATCTAGTAGATTGCTTGTCTCCATTTTTGTTTAGTACTTTTTCTGGAGTTTTGTTCTCTTCTTTCAATTTGGGTATTTTTTTGTCTTCTAGGACCTTTTGGCAGCCTCCAAGTGTTTGTTTCTATGTATTAGATAGAGCTGTTATGTCTCCCAGGCTTAGTAGAGTGGCCAAATGTAGTAGATGTCCTGTGGGGTTCACTGGCACAGCCTTCCATGGTCACCCTAACTGGGCATTTAAGGTGTGCCCTGCCCCCATGTGTGGGCTGAGTACATCCTCCTCTTGAGCCTGAATTGCAGTTGGCACTTTAATGGGAGGGATTTACCCTCAGGGCGATTAGCTGCTAGGACGGGCTTTGACCACTGACCCACTGACCTCCAACTACAGTGTAGGATCAGCTGTGCAGAGGTCTACTCCACAGAGTTACAAAGCAATCCACAGATGGCTGCTACTTGTGTTGGGCTTGGAGGTGCCCAGTTTTGCAGGTTTTTAAAAAAATGCATTTGAAATTAAGAAGGAGACTGAGGAAGATTGGGGAAAGCAAGGTGGGATTTAATTATAGGATAGTTAACAAGATTATGTGCTCTCTTGAGGGTTAATGCCTCCTCCAGGGATATTACTTCTGGTATTTCAAAGGTTTGTTAACCTAGATGCACAAGAAAAATGGACAGGGCTTGCTTAAGGCCAAGGTAAACCTTTTACTAAAAAGTTATAGGCATGAGGCATGACTACTCACCATTACCTGCCCAGTTAGGAAATTATGATCAGATCACCCTGTGAGGTTACTTTCTGTGGGACTGCTTTTTGTTCACAGTACTTGACAGTTTAATTTCTCTCAGTTGCACAAGTAATATACGGGTATGCTTTTTTTGTTGTTTAACATTCAAATAATTTGGGAAACTATAGTGTAAAAAATCACAGTGCCAAATGCATACACAGTATCTTGTTTTTCTCCAGAGGCCAACTGTGTTACCAGTGGCTGTGTGGCCTTGCAGTCATTTTCTTTTTTTAAATTGTAGCAAAATATACATAACAAAAATTACCTTTTAACATTTTCTGAGGATACTTTTCAGTGGTATTAAGTACATTAACATTGCTGTGTAACCATCACTAACCATGTCCAGAACTTTTTCATCTTCCCAACCGAAACTGTACGCATTAAACAAAAATTTCCCCAAACTCTAACTCCCTGCCAACCTCTATTCTACTTTTTTTTTTAAATGTCTTTATTGATTTCAGAGAGAAAAGGAGAGGGAGAGAGATAGAAACATCAATGATGAGAGAGAGTCATTGATCAGCTGCCTCCTGCATGGCCCCTATTGGGGAATCGAACCTGCAACACTGGGCATGTGCCCTGACCAGGAATTGAACCTCAGTCTCCGGGATCATAGGTTGATGCTTAACTGCTGAGCCACACCAGCTGGGCTCTACTTTATTTCTCTATGAATTTGACAGTTGTAGGTACCTCATATAAGAACCATACAATATTTATCCTTTTGTGTCTAGCTTATTTCACTTAGCATAATGTTTTCAAAGTTTATCCATGCTGGGGAATTAGAATTTATGTCTAAAAAATGTTAGCTATTCCTATGCCTTCAACCAGCAACTCATAGGATTGTAGACAAGAGGAACCCTTGTACTTGTGCAGATAGTGTATTCAAGCATATTCACTACAAACATGTTTTTGTTTTGTTTTCAGTCTTTACCCGAGGATATTTTTTCCATTGCTTCTCAGAGTAGAAAGAAGGGGCAGGGGGGAAACATCGATGTGAGAAAGACACATCAATTGTTTGCCTCCCCCACGAGCCCTGACCAGGACCAGGGACGAGCCTGCAACCTAGGTATGTACCCTTGGCTGGAACTGAACCCAGGACCTTTCAGTCCACAGTCCAATGCTTTAAGCACTGAGCCAAACTGGCTAGGGCTTTCCATTGATTTTGAGAGAGAGTGGAAGGGAGGGAGAGAGAGAGAGAAACATCGACGTGAGAGAGACACATCAATTGGTTGCCTCCCCCATGAACCCCTACCAGGGCCAGGGATCAAACCTGCAACCGAGGTATGTGCCCTTGACCAGGAATCAAACCTGAAGACCCTTTGATCTGCAGGTCGATGCTCTAACTGCTGAGCAAACTGACCAGGGCTCACTACACACTGTTTGTATATGTGTAAGAATTTCATTTCTTTTTAGGGTTGAATGATATTCCATTGTAAGTTGTAGACAATAAAAGGGGTTCTACATAAAGTAATCTCAGAGGGTGATCTGGTCATAAATTCTGAACTGGGCAGGCCATGGTGTATAGTCACACCCTAGGCCTATAACTTATAAGTAAAAGGCTTATCTTTGCCTTTTGCAGGCCCTGTCCATTACTTCTGTGCATGTAGATGAACAGTGTCTTGAAAAAAGCCATAACCACCCTCAAGAAAGCACATAATCTTGTTAACTATCCTGTAATCCAATCCCTACCTTGCTTTCTTAACCTCCAAGTAATCTTCCTTACTGTCCTTCCTTAATTTCAAATGCGTAAAAAGCTGTAAAACTGTTATTCTCTGGAGCATCTGAGATCTTGTTCCCTGACATGTGTTGTCAGTTTGGGTCAGATAAAGGTCTTATAAAAACTCCCTTTATTTGGAAATCAGTTTGGATGTTTTTTGCACCAACAGAGTTCTATACATTTTGTTTATCCATTCATCTGTTGATAGGCACTGTTCAGAAAATGCTGCACAGAGACGTGATGCTGGAGAATTACAGGAAAACCTGACCTCAGTGGGTAAGGCCAGCTTTGTCTTCACTGGTAGATTTTTACCGCACATATTTCTTAAGCACCCGCTATGTCCCGGGAATCATTCTTGGTCTTGGGAAGAGAGTGGTGAAGAAAGAGATGTGACCTACACTTTGAGGAGTGACAGTGTAGAGCAGGGGCAGGCACACTTTTCCTTTAAGGGCCAGAGAAGAAATATTTTCAGCTTAGTGGCTAATAGGATCTCTGCCAAAGCAGCCACAGATGGTACTTACAGAAATAGACAGGGGTGTGTTCCAATAAAACTTTATTTACAAAAGTAGGTGGCTAACCTTTGGGCTGTAGTCACCAACCCCTAGTCTAACATCTTCTCTTGAGAATGAAGATTCCTCCATTATGATGACTTTATTCTCTCCTTGATAAGAAGCTTGGTTTTCCTGAAGTGTGTCTCTGTACTTGGGTCTGAGGATCCCTGATTCCTGTAGGGCATGACATTAGCTAGTTTGAGTTTTAGGTCCTGGGTACCATCAATTTACTGCTCATGGGGTCACACATGCCCATCTCTTGAAAACGCTGGCCCCACTCTGGGTGGGGGGGTGGTCCCTTGTCATCCCTTCACATCCCTCCTACATGTGCAGAGTATCATCTCTGTAAGTACACTGTGCTCACTTAGGTGGAGCAGGAGGAGCTGGGGAACAAGAGGAGAATTCTCCCACACACCAGTGCAGGTGAGCCCTGGATGAAAGGAGCCCCTTTAGGGAATTTCTAAAATGTTATTTTGTCTGAGAGATTGTCTCAGCCTACTTGGGGGGTGAGTTTCCTCTGGAAGTTTCAGCTTTCCTTTCTCACCTCCTCTCTTTTCTCTCCACTTTCTTTTGCTCTCAGTGAAAGCTTTGTCCTGCTTCCTCTTTCCAGAACATTTCCACTTTTGTAAATGAAGTGTTACTGGAACATAGCCTACTTGTTTGTCCATTCCCCCCCCCCGCTGTTCCCAAACTTTGCTTGCCTAATAGTACCCCTCTATCAGACTATTAGCTCCCATCTAATTTTTGACAAAATTATTTCTTAGCAAGTCACCTGCCACTTTCCACTTCTTGTTCCTATCATTATCAAGTTCTTAACATTGCTGAAATCCTTGAGGTCTGCCTTTAGCTGCTGGTCTATTCCCTGTCACATTGACTTCTCATGCTGAGGGTCCGTATCTGAAAAAAAATTAGCACGGACCTGGCATATTTTTAAAAATTACCTTTATCTCATTTATTTCTTTAAGAGCTTAGTTTTTTTCTTTCCATTAATTTCAGACTAGAAGTCTTGACTTCAACCTAAAACCAAAGAGACTACTGCAAAGCAGAATAAAATTTGGGAAAAACCATCTACTGGCAGGAAAAGGGTAAGGGCTGTCCAGGGCTCATTGCTGGCTTTCTGTAGTGGAAGTCTGGGTTTGCCTTGAGGGAAAAGAACAGTACAGCCACAAGGAGAGACAGTTGGGGCCAGTGACCTTCACTCAAGAGAAGTCATTTCTTAGGAGAGAGTCTCTGAGTATTATGAGTTTAGGGAACATTCTATACCAATTTCAAAATTTATTTATTCATGGAGAATTCCCACAAGCATATCCACAAATATGACTCAGATAGTGAATATTAACATGTAATTCAGTTTTTGTTTAAACAATTATCAGAAAAAAAGTCTGTACATAATAAGCAGTATGAATGTCATGACTGTGATAGAACGTTGTGGCAGAGCATTCACCTTAATTTGAAAGAACTCAAAGAGGCTGGAAGCAGCAGGCAGGCTCTGGAAATGGTAGCAACTTCCAGTGTGGGATTTTGCTTTCTTGATACTTCAGACTTTCTCTGGGGGAGAATCCTTGTGAGTGCAATGAAAATGAGAAGCATTTAGTTACCACTTATCCCTTAAGTAACAGGCACCAACTCATCCTGGAGTGAAACCCCATGAATATAATCTATGTGAAGTCATCAGAAATTGACATTTTTTTGCCCAAGAGAAATTACACAAGAGAGAAGTGCAATGAATGTAAAGAATGTGGGAAAGTGCTATTATCCTTCAACCCTTAAAATCCATGCTCAAGCTCATGCTGGGGAGAAACCATATGAATGTTTTTGGTACGGGAAAGCTGTTAGTCATCACTAATCCTTTAGGACACACTTGGGAACTCACACTGTAGAGAAACTGTAGGCATATAACCTGTGTGGGAAATTCTTCAGATCTAGCTCAAGCCTTTTCATACACAAGAGGGTACACACACTTGGGAGAAACTATATGAATGCTGTTACTGGGGAAAAGCCATCAGGAGCAGTAACCTGACTGCATAAGAGTGCATACTGGGGAGAAACTATCTGTGCAGTGACTGCAGCAAAAACTTAAGCAGGAAGTTCTATCTGCTGGTGCACATGAGAACCCATACTGGGGAGAAGCCCTACCAATGCTGTGACTGTGGAAAAACCTTCAATAGGGGCTCTAACCCAACTGCCCACAAGAGGGTACATATAAGGGAGAAGATGTACCAATGCAATGACTGTGGGAAACTTCAGTGGTCACTCATTCCATAAGAAACATGTGAGAACTCACAGTGAAGAGAAGCCCTAGGAATGGAAGCATGTGGGAAAGCCCAATTGACGTTACATGTGAGTATCTTCAGTCTTGAGAAGACTTCTGCTGGGACTTCACCTTTGTACGAGGAAATTCAGAGTGGGAGGGAAAATGTAAATGTTGCAAATGTGGGATTGTTTTATTTTTTTAAATCAATGTCTTATCCTTAAGTTGGAAATCTAACATTTTTCAGCCTTTGTTTTTTAATATAAGCATTTAAGGCCATAGATAACCCTTTAAATACCCCTTTTGCAACATTACACGAAGTTAAAAAATAATTTTTATTTTTTTGGTGTCTCCCATATATATAAGTGCTATAGACACATAAGCATAGAGTAAGAATGGTTTATATTACATTTTTCAGCTTTTTAAAAAAAATGTTTTTATTGATTTTTAGAGAGAGAGGAAAGGAGAGGGAAAAGGGGGAGAGAGAGAGAAACATCAATGGGCTGCCTCCTGCACACCCCCTACTGGGGAGTGAGCCCCCAATCTGGGCATGTTCTCTGACAGGGAATTGAACCAGTGACCTCTTGGTGGATGGGTCTACACTTAACCACTTAGCTATACCTGCTGGACTCTGCTGTTCTCTGATATTTTTAATTTTTTGAATACTCAATGCCTCAAGCTGCTGCAGGGAGTTCCTGAGTTTGCCCAGGTGGAGCTGACACATGGCAGCATTGTTGTTGCCCACTGCATTTGTTGGGTCAATCCTTAAAATTTCTGTGAATCTCTAAGCTTCTGCAAAGTTATCCTGACTGTGGTGAAGGAAAGCTCTGTTTTTTAAAACCATTATCTTCCCCTGCAGTCCATCCAGTTTCTGTGTTAATTCCTCCACATCTTGAAACCACTTTTCAGCTGCTTTTAGGTCTCCAGTATGAAGGGAAATTCAGGGATGCACTGAGCAGCTTCTGCCCGGGGTGGGCCTGGGTGACAGAGTGGTACCATCTACCACCAGCACATAGTCCCAGGAAGTGCATGCCTCCCTGGGCTTCCACAGCCAACCTGGAACTGAGGCCCTTCTCTAAACAGAATCAGTGAACATCCTCCCATCATGGAGGCTATCTGAGGAGCCTCTGGTGGTTATTTAGGCCTGAGGGTCTTTCTGCTTCCACTTTCTAAGTAGCAACAGTATTTCACCTGGACTGTCTCTAATGCTTTCTTCTTCAGAAGCAAGCAGTTTGCCATGGAGCACATCATCTGGCCCAGGTGGGACCGCTGCAGCTGCATGGAGGCTTACTCTGACCTTCCCGCTTACTGAATGTGCTTTTTTCCATGGCCAGGACTAATGGTCAATTTTGAGATGATGATCACCTAGAAATTATGCTTAATATTGGAGTGATTTATTCCTGGGATTATCTGGTGCAGGTGGGTCTTCTTCACTGGGCTATGTTTATAGGCAAAATTTATGTCTTCAACTGTAATTATGTCCTTGAGGAGCTGGCAGTAGTCCACTTTCCATACAGCCCAATTGTCCTGAAACTCATAGGCAAGAATAATGGCTCCCAAAGCAATTCTTTTCCAGTTAGTGGGACAAATGTCAATCTTGGCATAAGTCAAAAGCCTTTCAAAGTAAACCAGTTACTATTGCAGCCAGCTGTTAGCTGTGTGGCTCTGACCAACAAAATCTGTATATAAATCTGGCTTTGGGATTATGCTTAAAGTATCCTCTGGAACCATTTCTCATATGAATGGACATGTTTTTTCATCAAAAATATCATATGATCTACTTCCAGCTCTGTTTTCTTCTTTTTTGTTTCCAAGGGGTTGCACCATTCCTGGAAGTACTGCAATACCAGGTCGATGTGCAGCATGAATGGAAAAAGCTCCGATTCCATCTCCCTGCTCCAAAAATCCACTTAATATGTTGTCCTCAGATAGAGGATGGATCAGATGTTAAACTGATAAGAACAGATATCTGTGCTTGATCTTAGGCAAAGGCCAGGAAGTGGTCCATCTCTGTTTTTTAGGAGGAAACATATTTCTAAGCTCACACACTGGACTGTGGTTCTAAGATTAGGCTGGTTGGCTGTGCTGCCATCTAGGAATACTGTTGAGCATGAGCGAGTTACATTTTTTGGTAAGGTGCACTGGAAATACGTGGTTTAAGAAGTTCCTCTTCTCTTGCTCATTCGTTTCAGACTTGTTCAGAAAAATTGTGCTTGCCTTTGGGTAGTCAGAAGGGTTTGATTCTAAAGGTACCTCTTTGGGCATCTCCTTGTTGCTCAGATGCTGCACACTGTGGCCCTGGAAGGCTCCAAAATCCAACTTGACAGGCTCCAGAGCAGATTGGGCTGGTGGAACTGTCACTGAGTCCTGGCCTCCGCCTCATAGACCTCAGACTCATTGTCAGGCTTCACTCACCTGGAGTGTGGGCCCAGATTGGGGCTGACATTGGGCTTCAGGCAACAGATCAGTTTGTTCCCCATGAGGAACCTCTGCTCCTCTCTGCTGTGACCACCTTGGCACTCAGCAGTCTCCCTCCCTCTCCCAACAATGGCAAAGCTCTGTGATGCACAGGGACCCTTGAGCTATGGGCCCTGGGCAGGGCTTAAGGCCTGGCTGCAACCCCCACTGTGGTGCTGCTACTGCCTCTCTTGAGTTACCTAGTCTGTAGATACATTTTTTTTGTTAATCAGCTGAGGATATTTTTCCATTGTTTTTTTTTTATCCTCACCTGAGGATATTTTTTCCATTGCTTTTCAGACAGACAGAGAGAGAGAGAGAGAGAGAGAGAGAGACATCAGTGTGAGAGAGACACATTGATTGGTTGCCTGCTGCATGCACCCCAACCAGGGCTGAGGATAGAACTTGCAACCCAGGTATGTACTCTTGACTGGGAATCGAACCCAAGATCCTTTTGTGCATGGGCTGATGCTCTAACCACTGAGCCACACTGGCCAGGGCTGTGCCCTTTATATCTTCATATGCAGTTAACAGTAAGCTTGCAGAGGTCCACAAAAAATCATTCTGGTATCATGTCTGGAATTTAACTGAATTAGTACTGGTAGAATCAACATCTTTATGTTGTTAAATCTTTCAGGCCATCAACTCAGTATCTGCACTTATTTAGGCATTCTTTAATGTGTTTCAGTAAAGTGTTATATATTTTTCTATGGAGGTTTGGCACATTTATCATCAGATATCTTCCTAGGAACGCCATATTTTCTCATGTTTTTCTTAAAATTGTTTTTTTCTAAGTACTACACAATTGACTCTGAACAATGTGGGTGTTAGGGGCACTGATACCGTTAAAAATCTAGGTCAAGACAGCCCAATATACTTCATATAACTTTGAACTCCTCAAAAACTTAACTCCAGTTGTACCTCAATATCTGGAGGAGACTGGTTCCAGGAACCCCACAGATGATATAAAATGGCATAGACCAATGATATAGTTGGCCCTCCATATCCATGGGTTCTGACCCATGGATTGAAAACAGTATTTTGGTTGAATCTGTGGCTGTGAAATGGAGATATAGAGGGCTGACTATTTATTGAAAAACTACTAAAATGGTCAAAGTCATAGAAGCAGAGGATACAATAGTGGTTTCCAGAGATTGGGAGGTGAGGAAAATGGGGAGTTATTATTGTTCAATGGGTATTAAGTTTAGTTATGTTAGATGAATTATTTCTAGAGCGCTGCTGTATAACATAGTGTCCATAGTTTACAATACAGAATTGTCCATTTCAAAATTTGTTAAGAGGGCAAATCTCTTAAGTTCTCTTCCCACACACACAGAAGAGAGACACAAGGAAACTCTGGGAGGTGTTGGATATGTCTATTACCTTGATTATGGTGATAGTTTCACTAGTGTTTTCATATGTCCAAACCCATCAAATTGTATACCTTTAATATTTGCAGTTTTTTATATTTCAATAAAGCTGTCTTTAAAAAATTTGCATATAAGTGGACTTGTGCAGTTCAAACCAGTGTTCTTTAAAGGTCAACTGTATAGTGAAAATGTAATTTTCTTTGTGCACATATAATCTTAATGTTTTTGGATGCTAGAGATCAATGTTTGTTAAAAATTCTAACCCAGCCCAACCAGCATGGCTCAGTGGTTGAGCATCAACCTATAACCCAGGCAATTGCTTCGATTTCCATCTGGGCACATGCTTGGGCTGCAGGCTTGATCCCCAGTAGGGGGTGTGCAGGAGGCAGCCAATCAATGACTCATCGATGTGTCTATCTCTCTCCCTCTCCCTTCCTCTCTCTGAAATCAATACATATTTAAGTTAAAAAAATAATTCTAACC